CCCGCCCAAAATCTTAGCAAGCAAAGGTGCAAAGCAAAAAAAAAAGCAGTGACATTTATCGGCGTGATTGGTAACCACAACGTCAGAATATCTATGAAATTAATTTCAATACATCCTTGTAAAAACAACATTTTTTTTATATCAAGTGACAGGACGAACAAGTCGTGCGCCTGAGGGTAAGCTACACGCCTGTACATAACAGTTGCAGTGCCACTCACGAGCTTTAAATCGCAAAGATCTGAGGGGAATTGCCAGTGCGACCGTCACCCTGAGACATAAGTTGACAAGTCGCATGTGCCTGTAATTTCACCTGCACCCTTACCCTTCTAAACCGGAAAGCAGTAATGCTAACATTACTGCTTGGTGGCAGAAATAGGTAAGGTGGCACAGTACTTCTCTGGACGAATCTTTCACAAGGAGCTGTACTGCTGCTAAAATGATAATGAACTGACATGGAGCCCCGAAAGACTGGTAAATTATCTTGCCCACCTTATTGTACCATACAAAGGAAGGAAACGTCGTTCGTTTTTTTTTAATAATAATAGGAGACAAAAGAGCAGATGAACTACTTGACGGGAGGTGGTCATCGTCGCCCATGGACATCTGCAAGGTCAGAGGTGCTATATATTGGCAACCTCTGAGAGCCCTATAGATTCGCTTTTTGAAGATCTCAATAACATAGCGCAGAGGAAATATTTCAGGAGATCATTCCACATTTTGCACGTTCGAAGAAGGAACGAACATGATGTCAGCGTGGTCCTAGAATGGCAGGCATCATGGATGTGGGGATGGGCTCTTCTCCTTTAGTGGGAGGGGCAAAGGTGGAAACGCGAGGGTGGCAACACTTCAAAAAATTCCTCTGAGTGATCCTCGTTGTTCAGACGGCAGAACACACACAGAAAGTCAACGTCTCTCCGTAGACTAAGGGATTCCAAAACGTCTTTCGAGTTCCATTTCGTGTAGCTCTAGTGCTAGTATTTAGACTTGTGACCAGCGCCGGCGCTAGTCCATTTAGTGCCGGGTGCAATGAATACCCTGGCGCCCTCTAATAGAATAGGCATGCGATCAAAATGGAATACTTACAGTTATATTTCAGTGATCGGAAATTCGTGTACAAATCGTGCAATTATGAATGATGTTGGAAAGCAATAATAGACCGTTTAATTCGCATGCGCCGCGAGTGATATAAACTCCTTGGAGGAGTCGTGAGCGGCGCTCGGTGCCCCCAAGACCCTGCGCTCATGTGCGCCGTGCCGCACACACTGCACTTTACTATATGTAAAGCCGGCAATGCTTTTGATGTATATAATACTTTGTAAATAAACCGTTTCCAAATCCATGTACCTACAATTTATATTTACAACATATTTTGCCTAAAGTTTCAATCTAGATTTAAGTCGTCTATTTTACGTTAAAAAAAGGTTTAGTGTGACCAGCTAAAAGATGAAAATATGATAACAAAGATAACAGGGCTGAAAAAAACAAATGAACAATACTTAATCTACTGTTAACAAAAGGGGCGCTTCACAAAGGAAAAATAAATCAAATTTATACTGCGTATTTGTTGAACATTGAAGTGACTAAATTGACGTCACCCGATTGTATCGCTTGACAAAATATTTTCTACCCACAATGTGTCCGATCGTAAACGATTTTATATAAAAATCAAGAGTGTCAGATGCCTCATACTTGACATCTACGCTATACACACTATACGTTTTATGTAGTGGCGTAACTACAGATACTTTCTTGGCAAAAGTATTAGGTGAACCACTGCCAAGAAAACTTTTCCAGGTTTCGTAACAAGCTGAGCCCAAGCGAACCTTGACATTGGCTATTTGTTTAAAGAAAACATTCTTATAAAACACTTGTAAAAAACTCACATATTGGACAAATAAAAAACTCCGAACAAAAATACGATTATAGTCTATTGTTACATTTTATTTAACTAGAGACCATGTGCCTCAAAATATGGCAGTGCCGGTGAATGTAGAACTTCACCTAGCTAAAAACAACAGGAAATGAGGAAAGACTATTGAAAGAATCATGCTTACAAGAAGTCACGATACTCAACAGCGAGGAACCGATGGAAGAGAAGTTTCTTTACTTATTATGATTTTAAACAACGTTGAAGAACAGAGACAGTTAATGAACCAAACGATTACTATACTATTTGCATTCAATCTTTCGATAACTTCAATGAACACTACGCCAACTTTATTTTTTGGTATTTTGTTATTTAGTCATATTTAAAAATTAAGCTGGCAAAGTGTTCATTGGAGGTATCGCTTTCAGAAACATTTTAATCCGTTACGGGTGATAAATTTCTTTGTGTAGAATTCGCTTAGATAAGTACCATTGACCTATCTATTTTCTACTGTAAAGCACACGGATTGAAAAGGGTGAGGACGTTATCTCCCACGGCCAATACATTTGCAATATTAACGATAAGTTAGTATCGGAAATGTCTGTAGGCGGAGGTAGCCATTTTCTAACAGGCTAATCGTCAGTTTGAATGTTAGTATTATTGTTTTACACATAAGAAAAATACAAATACATTTTTTCAAATGAAAACAATGAATCGTAAAAAGGCGTGTAAACCATTAGGTATAGAAATAAAAAATACAGTTCCCTGTGATTGAGCAATTAACTCAAAATACAAAGTGTCGTTAAATCTTAACTACTTCACTTTATAAGAAAAAGTTTTGCCATTATAGGGACACAATTTTCAAAGAATAATGATAATAATTGCAAGTTATGCTGGCAAATATCACAGAATTGATTTAATTACCTATTGGATGTTGTTTATTTAGTGTATATGCTTGTTTCTACGACAGAGATGATAAAAGCGTCGATAAAAGCTTTCAAGCAGAACACGACATGACATTATTTATTTAGTCAAGTGTATGATATGTATTTCATGGCATAGATCACGATAGAGACTATTTATAGCCAATAATTGGACGTTTATCGGACGGAGTCGTTGGTAGCCGACAAAGCGGTCGTGAGGAGTCAACGCTCCCGTGTGAAATTTCGATATATTTAATCAAGAAAGAAAAATAATTACGATCCATTTTTATGGAGCGCTTGCGCTTGTTTTCAATATCGACCTTTTTTTAAGAAATTTTATGGGTAAAGACGAATATTTAACTCTAATTTGGTTCAACCTCCGCGAGAACTCGTACTCTGTTATATATCTTGTAGTCAATACGTAACACAATATTTACTAAGCGTAATAAATACATTTGGCGTTCATTGTGTGCCATAATGATGCTCGAACGATATCATTTATATAATTTTGTTTACTATAGCCAAAATAAGCATCATAACGACTCAGTAGCCAACCGGAGCTCGAAACAAGCGTCTCGCCAATCTCATGTATTATGATAAATTGTAAACACGTCGCCAGCTGAAGATGACAGACCCATTTTATGTCTTTGTAACGTACAAAGATGTACAGGTCTAATTGATGTTACATAGAGATACTTGTAACTACATCAAAATGACGCGTTCTACGTAGTGTTAATTAGGTCACGACGATTGCTGGGCGTGGTTTATACCGATACAAAATACCATATAATTTTATTATCGTCAAAATTAAATGGCATTTTGTATATTTTTAATGGAAACGCATTCTTATAGATGTACCTTCTTCTTCACCTTCACCTCCTTGCGAAAGAGTTCGCCCACGTAAATACTGCCTGACACGTTACCTATTTCTGCCGCCAAGCAGTAATGTGAGCATTGCTGCGTTCCGGTTTGGAAGTGTAAGGGTGCTGGTAAAATTACGGACACATGGGACTTATGTTTCAGGGTGACGGGCGCAGTGGCAGTGACCCTAAGATCTTTGCAATTTAAAGCTCTGTGGCACTGCAACTGTTATGGATAGACGTGTCGCTTACCACCGTCACTTGGTATTATAATAAACTATAGATAGAATAAAGTTACAAGCCGCTTACGTGACTATATTGTACACATAGTTATTTATGTGGGTACTAACTAAGAGTCTTCCGAAAATACCCTTTCAAAACTTAGTCAATCCGAGTAACATCTCAGATAAGAACGATTTACAGGTGTAATCTCGAACACATGTAAAGTAATTAGAAGCGATAGACGCACAATCTTAATGCTTGAACCACTTACCTCACCCGCCGATAAACTTGCTCGGATTAACAATTACTTCAACTTTGGAGCACACGTGAACGTAATTTGTCTTAAGTTATACTTCAAGTTATTCAACATCATATTAAGTCAATTTACCGTGACAGACAAAGTTTACCACACACAAATTCAAAATTTACTTATTTATGAGCACTTACGTAGGCTTTAATGGACGACAACTAGGCCTTGTGGCAGCGAACTCGTATTTCACGTGAAATTATCTTTCAGGTTATTTTCGGGATTTTTTTTCCCGAAACGAAATAACTCAGAACCCTAAACGTTACACTTGTTTTTTTTACTCGACTTATCTAGTTCTTGATTAACAAAAACAAACGCGTAAATATCCTTTTTTCATCAGCCATGTAGTTTGTAGCGTGTCATGTACTTTCTTTTCTTTGAACCTTTTAAGTAACTTTTAGGAAATTTACACTATTTTTCGGTTGTAAATCGCGTATATTTGTTTTTTCAAACAAACTAAGGTTTCATTTTGAGTAACAATCGCGAATAGCTAAGAGCTGGATAAGTTAACTTTTAGTTTGAACCACTTAGAATAGTGTCGCTATTTCTAGATACGGGCTTATTAGTTCACAAAAATCCAAGTACATATCCATACCCAAATAACTATATAAAATTGTCATAGAAATGAATCATCTCGTAACCCAATCGAGTGCAAAAGGAGGGTATTGAATCGGAGAGAAAAGATTCTCAATTTGGAAGGAGGCCAACAGTGCCGTCGGTTAAGATACGATTCCATTAAACTGAGGAGCACACCCCGACCTGCAGAAGGAGCATAAATGTCGTTGTGCGGGTTACAAAGGCTGTAAAGATGACAAACTGACCTGACTTGCTCGTGCTTTTGAATGTAAATCTTATGGAACTGCCCTTCCACTGGAGAGATGATGTCGTTTTTCATCTCCATAGCGACGTGTTGTGGAAGCACCGACAAAAGCAATCGTTCCTGTTGACAAAATTAATAAATTAAAATGAACTGTTATTATTGTAAGAAATAACTTTTGATTTTTAGCTGTGATTGCAGTACTCCGATAACTACTCCCGGTTTACTTAAACGTTTTCCGCATTATTCTACTAGACACGAACGTTTCTTAGAAACGAGATTATACGGAACTCAAACAAAGTTCCAAAAAATCATATTTCCATTTAATTAAAGTAACCTATAATTACGATGGTAACCAACACACATTTTGTGCCATTTTATAGCTTAAATATAGCCCATAAAACTCGTAGTTATTCTGTCTACTGGCAGTAATCTTCATGCAGAGTAATATCAAATTACAAGTCGAGTTAAGAACTCCCCGTTAAGCTTCTAAATGGTTTATTCATACAAAAAGGTGTCTTAATAGAGCTACTCGTCGTGGTTATTAGGTTTATTTGCTGTATTAGCTAAGCATTTCAAAACGTTGGTTTCGTCGAATTCCTTATCCAAATGTTGTTGCCATTATCTATTACTGTTACCATAATAGAGACATATTGGGTAATACAATGTGTATTGCGCGTTCATTTATGTCGCTTACTACATGCCAGCGCTATGTAGCCAACACGTTATGGTTAACCATTAACTTTTTAATTGGTTTGATTGGCGTGTGCACCATAAGTACCTAATATGTTTTGTAACATAGTACCTACACGCTAGTTTTTTTTTTCAAAGTACTTTTATCTGGACTAAAACTTGTTACAAGTTTGTTTCCCAAAATTGGTAGTTTCGTATCCTAATGTGCGCATAAGTCTTTCCCCAAGGGTCGAGGTAAAATATGATATGTACCTGAAGACCGAAATAGGATATTTTTCACATTTTCCGCAAGACTAAAGAGGAAGAATATGCTACGCGAATTCCCACTTTACCTTTAACAAATTGAACACTTTTTTTACAGGAAACCTGATTTCGACATGGTCAAAAAATCTTAACTAAATGGAGAAGTGGTGAGCAATCAAAACATCTAACAATTATCCACTTTGATCGATTTTATTTCCCGTTTGCAACTCTTTTGTTTTTATTAGTTCTGTTTGGTAGTTCCTTTACATGATGTCATCTGACAAACGAGACAATTTCTTCTCTGTTTTATATAATAGATTAAAATTAACTTTTAAATCAAGAACTCTAAATAGAATAGGACTTCGCCTAAAGGCCTTGCAACTGGGCCATAAACTTTATTAAAAAAAAATTGACTTAGACTATGAACCATCCTCTATCTTGAGTTCACTTCTCATTGGCATGAAACAAAAGTAGTCTCAGTTACGTTTATATTGCAAAAAGTTTAGTTTGTTCTATAAATAATAATTTGAGTTTGTTTTTATCTATAAATCTGTGGTTTTTATCTTAGAGGATGGAAAACTTTTTATTCGCTCTCCTTGTCAATGGCTGAAACGCTAATAGCGATTACTCAAAACATTAAAAAAAAATTGTATTAACAGTTTTATTGCATACATTTCTCTTTGGTTTAATTATTTACACGTGTAAAGTGCAGACTGAGTATTTTTGGAATCGCAAAATTTTACTTGTAACTCACAATTTATATCCTGTAGGCTTAGTACTTATAATTTGGGTATGATGCGACACTTAAAAATAAGCTCCGCCATTTCAAGATTCAACATCTACTTCCAGTTTTTAGAACTAATCACGAACGAAACTTACAAGCTTTTCATTTTCATCTTCCATGTCGAGCCTAGCAGCGATGCAATTCCTTGTGTCTAAGAAGGCGCGCCGCTGCGCTGTCTCCATCAACGAGTGCATCAATGCCCCCACAACGTTCACGCACACGAACACCACCACGTTCCCCACCATCTGCATTATAAATAAACACTCTGTTAAATCCATTAATAGACGTAAAAGCAATTGAAGTTAATGTCGACAGATTTGATTAGCATGGCAAACCGTTTACTTGAACAAAGAAACACTTGAGAGTTGAAACTTGAGTTGTTGCATCTGAATCAATGAAAATTTAGTTTTTATACAATCTGTATATAAATAATGAAGAAGTATCAAAAGTGGTCAAGGTGAACCTACTAACAAAACAAATCTACGAACCGATTAGACTGAAAAATCAAACAATATTCAGCCAGGTCCGGGGTCGTTTGTAATACTGACACACTGTTTCATAAAACTAGGTTCAAAGAAATACTTTTAATAACATAGGCTTTGATTGACGGCTATTTGTTTATAGAAAATAAACTTTTGCAAGGCAGTGTTGTTTTGGACACGAAGATTGACATGACTGGTGCGATCATCTGCAGCATTAATATACTTTGATCCTTGCTATGTTACAGATGAAAGATAATAGAGATTATAAAAAACTGCTTTTGTGGATACTACACCTGTAATTTTAGCCTATGTTTTAATAATAAAAACGGTTATAAATTATTAATTATTATTATTAATTATAAATTGCATTACACATAGTTTAGATCAGACAATTAATAGTGGTTGGAGATAAAAATGTCGGTATCTCGATCACGGTTCGCAGTAGATTTGTAGCAGATTACTTAATAGCAAGCATAAAATAATGAATTGCTATATACATAGATTGTAAATGAAAACGTGAAAACGTTTTTTCAAAATGTAAACGTTTTTTCGGATCCAAATTGCGTATTTTGTTTTAAAAAAAAACCAGCTTTTTACAGATCCCATAGTCACGACTGGCTACCCCACTACACGGCACCTACCTATTACTGCATGGTGCGTACTATCACACGGTACCTGCTACTACATGGCAATAGATCCCATGTGTAGCAATGACGAAAATCTAAGAACTCGATTTCCTATACAAATATTAATATTATACCCAATTACACAGACTCCAAAGATTATCAGACAAGAGCCACATAAAATATATTTCACAGGAAGTGCGTACTGAAAAAACATGAGGCTGTGAAAATCATTCCACACCTTGAAACGGTGTATTTGTAAAAATCAGAATTCCTCACCAGAGTATAAACAGGTAATTTATAAATGATTCCGTTCCCACAAGGTACAAAAACTTCTCTTTGGTTTCAGTTTATGAAAAAAGGCAAATCGGAACTCTAAACTTGTTTAGAAGTTGTACAAATCAGGCAAATTTTAGTAATCTAGAGTAATGAACTAGATGCGGTGAAATGTGATCACTTTTACGTATTTTGAAACTACTATTAAATACTTAGCTTTATTAGTTTTAACGTTGAGACGAGGACCACAAAAAAATGTCGTAGAACCGCAGATAAAAGTAATGTATTACATTGCCATATTTTATTCAGTACTTGGACAATTTGAATATTGAATATTTCAAATCTTTTGCACCTTGAATAATAAAAATTAACAGTCGCGTATATTTCTACATAACTTTTGTTTATAGTGAGAGTCGTATTCCAGAACTCTACTCAATGCTTAAGTCAGGACTTGAGTATGATTTAAAGCACTAGAAATCATACTCAAGTCCTTGCCATTAGGGTCGTATTTCCAGTGCTTGAAATCATACTCAAGTCCTGACTTGAACATTGAGTAGAGTTTTGGAATACGACCCTAAAACTACTATTAAATACTTAGCTTTATTAGTTTTAACGTTGAGACGAGGACTAAAAAAACTGTTGTAGAACTGCAAATAAGGGAAAAGTAATGCATTACATTTCCATATTTCATTCAGTACTTGGACAATTTGATATTTCAAATCTTTTGCATCTTGAATAATAAAAATTAACAGTTCCGTATATTTCTATATAAGTTTTGTTTAAAGTGACCCTCCCTGCACTGGGAAGGGCACTACAACCTGTGCATGCACAGGTACCTTAAAAGTTCAGGTCCTGATCCTAGATCAACCCGTGGACAGGGTTGTCACCGATCGTTGTCACAGAGTTCATCCGGTTCTCAAAACGCTAGTGTGTCGGGTGAGCGGCTCAGGGTGCACGTACAGCACTCTCCCTATTTTCTAGATAGGTACTGGAGCTGTTATCACGCTCACTTCCTGTTGTGCATTGGACAAATAACGGTTGCAACCGCTAAGCCATTGAATCTAAATTCAACTACCAACTCTCCTCACTGGTAACGGAGCTGTAGGCACACTCACTTCCCGACGCCTGTCCGTGCGACCAGAGGATATGTAAGTTGTCCTCTACTAGTTATCCGGACTAGTAACGGAGATAACGGTGATTCTAACTTAAAGAACAACTCACATGCCCCGCACGCCCTTTCGCTTAAATCCTCGTCCAAACCACTACTAACACGTGCTAGCTGCACGCGAGACGAACGCCCCGAATATGTCCGTCTCTGAAACTACCACAGGCCCCGGTGAATCCATGCCCAGACTCAGGGTCCATCAGAGGGCCCGGCGTCTTATCTGGGAGCTTTTGTAGTCAAGGATAAACAAGAAAAATAAAAATGAACAGACTGCACACAAAAACAAAAAGAAGGAATCGCGAATGAATAGATACTTGACTCAGCATAAGTGTTGTTTTTCAGTCGCCATCATTAATAGAGACTTAATTATTTAAATTATCAAGAATAACAGTTAACACGCTCCTGCCAAGGCGACTGCTTACCTAAACTAAACGTACATTTTCAGTAAATGATCATTAAAAAATTATGAATATTTTCATGAATAATCAAAAACCTTGCCTGCGTGATCTATCATTTTTAAAAAACAAGCAAAACTTCAAAATTTGACCCAACTCGAAAAATTATTTCTCACTCCCAGTTAAGTACAACTAAATTCCTAAGCCGAGAATTGCAACCAGCAATAAATATGTACAATGATACGAAGCCAACCTTGCAGCCATTCAAGGCGAAATGTTTAAGGCTGCCGGAATGGCGAGCTACCACTGATAAAAAACTAAACAAGGCTAGGTCTGTAATTCAACAAGACGGTCTATCGCCATTGTATCTACACGACACCAGGCGACAGAACCTTCCACAGGCACCAACGCGACTACTATAAACCATTTTCTCTTAATAAGACTACACAAATGGCAATGTAACAGGCGATTTATTACATTTTATCTAAATATCTGAACATTAACCAACGGTTACAAAACGACAGTTTGTAAAAAATTGTTCAGCAAATGGAGCACTATCAATCAAAGACGACGACCCGAATGAGTCAACCTGAGCTTTATAGACGTTGTTGGCGCTTAACTATACAAATCTCTGAAATCAGATATAAAGTTTTGTAAATTGACCGCTTTAATTTTTCAATTACAAAACTCATTAATAAAGTGATTCAGCCAGATTACGTTTGATGAAATGAATTCGTGTTTACACGCCGAGTAACTGTGTACAGACGTGCAATTTCCAAACGAAGTGCCCTCACGCCCGAAACGGAAATTCAATTAAACTCAATGAAAACACTCGCACCTTTTCACGGAAAAGTGCGGGTAAGGAGCTGGGTGTATTATATAGATGTTTGCACAACGCTCCTCGTTCCAAGAGCACAAAGCAATTGAACGAGCTCTGCTACACGAGGTGCATTTACTTTAATTATGCGGCACTACGCACGGTTCCACGCTATGACTTCGTTAAAAAGAAATTGTTGCAATGATCCTCGAGTCCAATTATCGTTTACAGGTATTTGTTCACTTACGTCACTCTGTATTAGAAGGTAAAGTTAAAGTACTTTTATAAGAAATGCTATTAACTTTCTTTCAATGTCAGTAATTTCTTTAAGAATACGCACGGCTACAATTAACGAGAAATTTTCCTAAGCATTACTTATTCTAATTAAATGACTGTTAATTCTCATTCTCGTTTACAAGATAATATTACAGAATGTTTCACATTTCCATGACAAAGTTGTTGTTATGGTGAATTAAAAACTCAAACACGTTCAGGGACTAGGTACAGAAGTAGAATATGGGTGTCCTTAACTATTTATTTTATATATTCTTTATTGCACAAATAAATTACATGGATAATTACATATTAGAAAGGTTGTACACAAAGGTGAGCTTATCTCTAGAAGAGATCTCTTCCAGCCAACCCTAGCCGTGGTGAATAAAGCAAGTCAGCGGGATGAAATTGTACAATAAATTTAAGAAATATACCTCTAAATACAAATAAATATTAATGAAGACAATATAAATAAAAATATATATACCTACATAAACTTTACATAAATAAATATATCCATATATATATATATATATATATATATATATATATATATATTTATACTAAAATCTAAACAAATTATTATTAGTCTGTATTTATTTCACCGATTAACTTCTGAGTGTAACAGTAAGTGCTCATATAATTTGCGTTTGAATATTGCAACCGATGGACTGTCACGAATACTAGCTGGTAATTTATTCCACATACGAGCTGCACTGACAGTAAAAGAATAGTGGAAAAAATTAGAGTTGGACTGGGGATGTTCAAGAGTTCTAGTGTCACAAGTTCGTTTTGGGCGGGAAGTGGGGCATAAGAGAGTAAAGCGGGAACGTAGGTAGTGAGGAAGCTGTGGGCAGTGTAAGATTTTATAAAGTAGACAAAGGATGTGCAAGTCCCTGCGAAGTCGGATTGGGAGCCATTTTAATTTGGATCGAAACTCAGAGATATGGTCATACTTACGTAGACCAAATATGAAGCGTATAGCCAGATTCTGCAGGCGTTCCAGTTTGTTAAGCAACTCTTCATTGGCATCCAGATAACAAATATCGGCATAGTCGAGAACAGGTAGCAGTAAAGTCTGAGCGAGCATAATTCTGGTATCGAACGGCAGGAAAAATTGAAGCCGCTTCAGTGAAATATAAGTAAAGTGCATACGCCGACTAACTTCATTTACCTGCGGTCTCCAAGACAATGTACGGTCAATTATGAGGCCA